CCACTAACCACAACCCTCTGAGCTCTATCTGTAAGCCAGTTCTCAATCCACCTCACTGTCCATTCATCTAAGCCACACTTCCTAAGCTTTCCTGTGGGGATGATGTGGGAGACAGTGTCGAAAGCCTTGCCAAAGTCAAGGTAGACAACATTCACTGCCCTCCCCTCATCCACCCATCTAGTTACTTTGTGATAGAAGGCTATCAGATTAGTCAGACATGACTTCCCCTTGGTGAATCCATGTTGACTACTTCTGATAATCTTCTTTTCATCCAGGACAACATCCAGTTGTCCCTAACATGGCTGGGAAGGGAAGAGAAGAACAAAGTAGGGAAAATGGCAAGTGTTCCTTTAGCATTTTCAGCACTTATAGAAATTAGGAATACAAAGCAAGCGCAGAGGAAAAGCCACCCTTCCTTTCATTCTTGAAGGGGCTGCTGTAGCGTCAAGCCAGCCCCGGTTCTTGTGCACCATAACACCACACTACAGGAGTATATGGGTGCTTCTCTAAACCAAGAAGTGACAGCCTCACAATTCACAACTAAACCCACCAACAGATTCTCTTCTAGCATGAAATTAAGGTGCAATATGAAGCTCTCGGGTTGAAGAATCAGGGGTCTCTGTGTACCAGTACATGCCTGAGAGCACCTTCCTTTCTAGGAGGCTCCCCACACTGGGCTGGGGTGCAAAGGAGGGGTATACCAGAACCTGCGCTGTACTTCTTCATGTTTAAGCTCCAAACAACACTGTATTGAACTTTGTCACCCGTTTTAGCTTAAGCCTCCCACTCAGCACTTCTTATTCAGGACTAGAAGATGTGATAAGCACACAGCATAACCTGCTTGTGGGAAAGAAAAAGGGTAAGACAACAACATAAATAAAAAAGAATCAAAGAAAGTGTAAGGTAGAAGAGACTAAGGAATTGACAAGAAACTAGAGGAACCTGGATAAAAATCAGGGAGGAGAAAGAGATTAGGAAAAAAAATATGAGCAAGGACAGTAAAATCAGACTGAATTTTTAACGCTTTGCACAATATTCCATATTAAAAAGTCTCACTTTGATAAAACTAGTTTATAGTGACAGTCCAATAACCTCTGAAATATGGCATTTACAGATGAAAGGGATTTATTGAAGCTCCTACTTGCAGTCCTAGTCAATTTTTTCTTTTTTTAAATTTCCCCTTCAGCCTTTAAAATGACTAGCGCTGGTACTTCCTCTCCTTCCTGTAGCTGTCTGCCGCAGGGTAATCCATCTCACCACCAACCTACGTGCACTATCGCTCATCCTGAATGTCTTTTCTTCTACACACTTTTACCCATTTCGACTCTGCCAAACTCTTCCTCTCATTTCTTACAACCTCTGTCCTAGGTATTGCTCTGCCAAACGACATGCCTTGAACCCGATTTATCTCTTTGTCAGTAAATCCCTAAAGCCCTTTACCATTTTAAGAAGCTTTTTGCACCCATTACAGAGGTGGCAGAAGTTGAACACAGCATGTAAGAGGTGTGGGTACTCTGGCACTGCTGAGCAGCAGTCTAGACACTTCTCTTTTCTACGACGTGACGTCTCTTGAGAAAACAGCTCAGTCAGGTACATAACCTCTTTTGAGACTGTCTGTCCATCTATCCCCTTCTGCTCCAGCCTACAGATCTTTCACACAGAAGATCCTAATGTGGGGTCAGGAAGACGGCAACGCTGCAGAAGAATTCACAAGCTGCCTCTAGACATGTGGGGCAGATCAAAAGCCCAGACAGGATGTGCTGGCAGCCCTCAGAGATGCATGGAACACAACATTGTTGTTTAAACAATGGCAAATGAATGCTGCCTAATACACACCTGCAGATCGGACTTTGAGAGATGGACTTTGGAGAGTACTACAGCAATTTTAATGGCTTCTTTGCTACTGCTGTGAGCCCTCCCCTTGTCATCTCTCCCCACATGATCCTGCTGGAGGTCCCGCCTCAGTTACAGAAAGCAAAAAAGCATCAAAGAGGAGATCCTGAAAGAGGCGGAGTTGAGAGAGTCAGCTGCAGTCTGGAGCACAGGAGAGGTGAGAACCTCTCTTTTGCCACCTGCTTTCATGGATGAAGAAACCTCTTGCAGACAGCTGGGGTCGCTGCACCAGCAAAAACCACCTTCAAAATGTTTGCCGGAGCTCCTATGTGCACATATAATAAGTCAGTTTCAATTCCTCGGTCATTTACTTACTTAACTTTGGCAGTCCTGCTCCTGGAGAGGCTGAACCACTTTGAAACATTTCTATTCTCAGACTTGGAAGAAAATGATGATGACACTTTTTCTAAATAGGACAAGTATATTCCTCCTCAGAGCCTCAAAAAAAGGCTAACAGGATTTTTAATAATGTCTTTTGTTAAAGAAATAGTGAAATGAGAGAAAGTATTACAGTCAGTAAAGTTGACTTTTTGGAAGATAAGAATACAGGTGGAACAGGACCTGTTTTGTCATCTTGCATCCATTATCACAGAGTTAAATTCTCACAGTAACTTCTGACACGCAACAAACAGGTGGCAAGATTTGTTAAAATATACTCAACCAACCTAGAGCTGATGCACAGTTATTTTTATATCAAGTGATTTTGCTCTTTCATGCCTTTTGTGCACAGCACATTAAAGGTACACTGTTGCTAAATAAATTAATCCTCTTCAGAATGGAACAGCTTAATTTTGAAGACATTTTAATATTAAACATCAATCATATATGGATCTTTGGGTGCGTTTTTTTTTCCCCCAAAGTGCATCCTACAAAATTTTCATCAACTTAGGACAAAAATAGATGTTGTGCCTTTCTTGCAGGAAGCTCAGACAGTGAGGCTATGCAGTCTGCCAAGACCACAGAGCAAGTCTGGCAGCATAAGGAAACCTGCCTGCCAATGCCAGACACAATGCAGCCAATCTACAAGACGACACCATCTACAGTGTGGTACTATAAATTGACTAATATTCTTGGTAGAGCTGCATGCTATAGCTTTACAGCTTTATTTGCAAAATTTTTTATTTCTGAAGCGAAGCTGTCATTTTGACATGAATTACTTGTTCAGCTTGTGCATGTTATTTCTAGTCCAACGTTTCCAAGTTCACTGTCACTGAAGAAAGCTCTTAGGAATCCAGGGTTATATTTGTCACAGCATTTGATCAGGTGAAGCCCACCTGAAATTTCAAGGCTGTACTGCCATAACAGTATGTCCATAATGAGTGTCTGACTCAGAGCTTCAGCCTAGCAAGCCTCCTCAGACCAGTCTGTTGTCGCTAAATTCAGCCAAAGGAGGGTCTCAGGTTGCACAACTGTTGGCAGCAGCTATCAACTAGATGGCTTAAAACTGAAACCTGTTTCAGTTTTCTACAAAATGGGCTGGAAGCCTTCATATAGAAAATTAAAGCTGAGATTCTTCCTCACTATTTTCTGCCTCTCGGTCCAAATTCTGCATGGCTTGCTGTCTGCTCAAATCTCACCCCAAACGGTTGGTGCTTTTCTGACCAAGTCTCTTTGGAAACCACATGGGCAACCACAGCACAGACACAGGGACCCACAAGCACAGGCTTAAGACAAAGGCTTCCTCAGATATTTTTAAGACCCTTCATTGCCCTAGATGGTGGAATACATGCATGAGGAAGCATATACGTCTCCAGTAAGACCAAAGGAAGGTTCATTTGACTCAAGGTGAAACCAACATAACTGTGGACTTGAAAAAGACTTAGTTTTAATCAAAAATTAAAAATACCAGTTTGCGAAGGCAAAACCATATAAAAGTTTCAAGTGCTGGCTAATGTAAGTACTATCCACAAAGCAGACACTCACACAGCAAACTAGGTATCAATATACAAGGGTAAAAAAGGTTACATGAACCCCCTTCCAGTTCTCATAATTAAGTTTTTCTGCTTATAGAGATTCTTTTGTATATCCAAGCAACAGATGAAGTATTTTAAGTTACTGTAAACTGACCACAAATTTCCTTGGTAGATTGAGAAAAGACAAGGGTTTTCATCTTGAAAATCCCATATAAGAGTCTTATATATTATTTGTTTCTCAAATCTATTGAGTTTCAGATTAGCCATAAATCAAAAGCCATTGGTGGCAAAAGAAAATCTTGTTTAGAGAACAAAAAGTAATAAAGTATCTGTATAGGGAAAATCCTTGCAGCGTGCAGCAAAATACACAGAAGACCAGCCTCAAATGTTTATTTGCAAGCTAAATAAAGAAATCCGTGTATGTGCATTCCCAGCAACAATAAAACCAGAGTTTTCCTCTTGTGCAGTATCTGCTCATTGGCTACTGTTACATTTCCTGTAAAATGAACTTTCACATTATCAGGTGATTGGTCTGGGATAGTTGCAGAAGACATTCCTGGGGTTTTACACCCAACTTAACGTGGTTTATATTGTGTCTGCATTTACAAAATAAGGCAATTTGATTCTACTCTGCCAGATACAACCGCTCCAACTCTGAACATTAGGCTCGCCAAAAGCATGGTTTCTTCCTTTGTAAATATATTTATAAAGCAGCCTGTTGACTGTTATACATGTGACAGCAGTTGCGCTTAATAGTCTTTTCTTACCTCCACAACCCCATGATGAATAGATGTGTACTGCTTCTTCTTCAGCATCACCAAAGTAATGACAATCACTGTTGCTATGACAACACCTCCCACCATTAGTCCAATGATGGCACCTTTATTTGAACCCACATCTTCAGCAAAGAACACCTACAAAAGAAAAATAAAGGAAGGTGCCTAATAAAAAGTTCACTCAGTATTTGGCTAACCTGTCCAGCTGCCACAGCAATATAAAGCCTATTGAAGTATCAGTAATTAAGCAGCATTGCATGTCACCCTAATTAGTCAAAACTAGATCACTATACCACAAAGCTCTCATAATTGGAGAAGAGCAATTTGGGAAATCTGTACTGCCTGTGGCGCAGCAGTGCTGTGGCTAAGGGGAAGACTCATCTCCATGTCTCTGCTTCATATGGGTCGTGGATAGTAGATGTTTTTTCTCTTGGGTAAGTCATTCAAGTTAATTGCAAAATGACTGATAAGCTTGTAGAGGAGTAAGCAGTGAGCATACAGATTTCTTTATTTTTAGAATGCTAATCATGAAAGTGTTCATAAATCTACATCGGTGCGGTTTGTTTGGACTATGTCTGTTGCATCTCTTCGATAAGGAGTGGTGAAGATCTGTAGGACAACAGTGAAACGTGCACACAACCAGCTGGGAGAAAACTCTCACACCAAAGAGACAACAGTCCAAAAACCAGGTGCATGCCGATTTAGGGCCCACCAAGGGATGGACCAAGATTTTGCAGGGTAAAGGGAGAATGAGTTATACCTGCATGACAACAATACTCATGTGAGACCTAGACAATGTAACAGTTGTGAAAAAACAGAGAAGATCCACTTGAATTATATATACTGATAAGACAAATCAGTGGACAGCAAGATGCTTTACTATGCATTTAATAAGATTGGCTTTTAGCAACAGAAGCAGGTATGAAAAGTGGGTGATTGTTTTCACTGTCCTGCTTTGTATTCAAGGAATATGCTGGATTATTTTACATCTATGCATACTTTACAAACTTTTTGTCCGCTTGTCAATAGCGGGCCTTTATTATTATTATTTTTAACCAAAATGGGCAAAAAGGATTAGAGAATAAATTACATTCACAGAATTGTAAGACTACCTCACTCTGAAAGACTAAATACTTTGACAAGTATTTAACAAAAATGCAGAGGGAAGCAGGAAACCAGCTGAGAATTATAATGAGCTGTATAACATTTGCACTCTAAGAAACACAGTCTTCCTCAGAGAGGTATTAAAGCATGCAATATAAATATTTATATTGTTCCTAGTCATAAGCAAGAAATGTGTTTAAACAAAGTTAAGAATTGACTAGAAAGTACACACAATGGACAGTGTTGGCATAAAATCATGTGAAGTAATAATTTCTTCTGTCAGTTTTACCTGCCCAGGCCTGAAATTCTGTTACCATACTATTTTGGAGCACTGTGAAATGCCCCAGCTAATATACAAGTGCAACAGAAGGAGGCCTTAGGCAGTCTGAGCCATGAAAATCAACTTAATGTACAGCTAAAACGTGAACACCCATAAGGGGGAAAATAACTGCAATTTCAGCTCAATTCAGACGTTTGTGTGTAAAATACAATGCACAGCTGAATTCAAAGCAATATCCTAAAGAGACTGTTTCAGTAAATCCTACCAGGGCACAGGAGAAGGAAAACACAGATGAAAGTATTTTCTGCTTACTGCTTTTGAATTAAAGCTAATGGAGAAGGGCATCAGCTAGGATATGGCATGTGGTAAACACGCGATGCTCTGTAAGGCATCAGTCCAGCACCTTCTCAGCAATATCGGACTCTTAAGCTCAGTCTCAATTGAAAAGATAACCTAGAGGACAGCTTACTAATTTCTAAATAATAGTTGTACCTATTACTAAGAATTATGGCATAAAATGCTTTAAAAAGCTGGAAAGGTTCTATTTTAAGCATCACACAGACTACCCATATGCAGAGATTGCACTGCTTTCCCTATCAGGCACCACAGTAAGGGTAGTTTCCAGCACCAAGCAGCCACTTAAACATTAAAGATTTCTGCTGGGAAGCGCATGTGACACAGGATCAATAACGCCTGTGTCTAAAACACATTCCTGCAAGTTCCTTCCCTTCAGTAAACTCGCACTGGTTTATTCCATCAGGATGTTTAACCCATCTGAGCTAAGCATGTCAGAATTTCCCAAATTAGTGCTAATGCATTTTGGATTAGCTCATCAAACTGGGAATTCTCAGTTCTCGGCATCAAAGAGATGGCAGAATATCTTTTCATGCAGTGATTGCCTAGTTCAAATGCAAATTTGAGTCCCATGTTAATTTTAATTTTCAGCACTACTTAGCTTTAAGAATATATTAAGAAAAAAAGCTTTCAAGTTTAATATCAGGATATTGAATGTCACGGAACTGAAATCTCATCATGTAATATACCTTTACAAAAGAGGAAGCAGAAAAGGTTTATAGTCAACACTGCTGCATGGGTTCTTCATTACTTATTAAGGGAATGAAAAAAGCTTTTAGGAGATGCTTGTTCTTACTTACATTGCTTTTGGCTGTTATTTTTGTGTTCATAAGCAGCATCGTTCAAATGGGGAACAAAATTTTGCTCCTACCTGCCCTTTACCTGTTAATAATTTAATATATCTTAAGGAACAAAACACAGATACAACCAAGTACAAATAAAAATTAAGGCCAGTAGAGAATCTCCTCTTAACCCAGGCAGGCTACCTTGTGAAAGATTATGCTCCATGGAGTTCAGCCTCCTTAATGCACCACCTCCATCTGTTTTGACAGAAAAGGAATTTATTCCTGAAATGGCATCATTCTATTTCTTGCTGCACCATGCTGCATGTCTCCATCAAACTTTTTTTTAAAATTTTTTAAACTTACTTCGCATTTTCCTTCCTCTGCATCCCTTCTCTTTAGTTATATGACTGTGACAGATGGACTCTGGGACAAGTATTGCCCATATGACCACATTCAGTGACATGGCAGTGCAAGGGCAGGAACCGTCAGAATTTCCTCGTGTGAGAATTCATGGCTTTCTATCCTCTCTGCTGAAATTATTCCAGGTTTACTCTTATTAAAGAGAGAACCAGAAAAATCATAGTCTGTTCATGTGAAAGCTTTTTGTTGGCACTTTCAGTATCCACATCACTCAGGGAAACATGGCCATAATTGACCCACTAGTTCAAGATTGAATCAGCAACTCAAAACACTCGTGTGGAAAGCATTGTTTGTTCACTCACCAGCTTTTGATGATGAACTTCGTATCCTGAGTCATGCCGGAACTCCGCATCCATCTTCACTTCAGATATCTCTTCTGTTTTAACATTGGTCAACCCGGAACCTGCATTGCACCGCAATGACAATTCATTAAAGTCATCGACTCAATTGTGCTCTGCTTACCTCCACCATTACATGAGCAGAAGGCAATGGTATCATTCACGCGGAGGTGCGACGCAACGTGAAAGGGAACTGGGAGGAATGTGAGGTTCATCTAATGTTTCAGTCCCACTGAGGTGACACAGAATGAGCTGGTAAAATTTCTCCTCTGTTAAAAGTTCCTTAATCCACTGCATCTATGCTGGTACAAGCTTCAAAGGCTTTCAGTGTGAAACACCACAAGAACTAAGCTGTGAGGGACCAACAGCAGACTCCTGAATTGGCTCACAGGATGCAGACAGATCTGCTCCAACAGCCTCTTTAGCAATGTCAAGAAAATTTGGTGTTTATGCTGAAGTCTTCCTCCTCCCTAAGCTCAGGCTGCTGTGAGGAAAAAACACATACCCGTGGTGTGAGGTGGGGAACCCCAGATATTATATTTTCTTGCTTCCTGTGAGTCTGTACCTTTTGCACAAACATGCACAAATAAGGGTAATTAAAATGTTCGTGAAGTTCTTATTTGGTTTCAGATTTCAGAGTGCTCAGAATTAATATGATTCAAGTCTTGACTTCTGCCTGAGAGATGATAACTGTCCTCCTTGATTAGAAACATACTGTAAAGCAAGTAAGCAAAGCTTGTGGTGATTTTAATTGGAGATAGTTCGCAGTCCTGTTCGCCCCCTTTGGGTGCAAAGCGGAGATGCTGCACTTGTCTAACTGGAAAGAAGGCCAGGATTTCCTCCCAGATAACAGCCTTAGGACAATGAGCCAGACTTACAACAGCTAAGCAGTGCATCCTATATGTGTATCTATGAATGTTTTGTCCTGACAAACTGGCTCCGGCTTATAGAGAACATATGGTTATTCATGGAGCTGGTTATTTTCCTTCTCAGCACTGACTGACTGATATTTATATTTCTTGGAGGTACAAACACTGCAGAAACATGGTGTTTATGAGAAGTTATTTCCTCACCCTATCTAATGTGACAAGAACAAACTGGTTCATATTCATTGTCTATATTTATTTGAGCATTTTATCACTTCAGCTCCTCTTTCCAAGCCTTCATTCTGATTCTTAGTATTTTGGGCTGACCTTAAGCTCCGATGCAGAGGAAGAACCTCTTCTAAAATTCTCAACGCTACTGACTGTTCTTGTCCTCCACCGTCTCTCTGGACTCTCAATAAATTCTTGAAGGCTTCCATGTGCCAATGAGCTCCACAGTCTAAAGTAGCACTCAATGCAAGAATTACTGCCCTTTTATTGCCATTGAATGTGCAATTTCTTTTTTCTTTAAATGCTGATTTATTTTTGCATTATGAATCATCAAGGACAGACCTTCCCAAGAATTTCTCTGGGATGTACAGACAATTCCATTCTAAGATTCTGATCTTTCTTTTCACAGTAAATCATGTAAAGGAGAGAACAAGAATCATCTTCATGCAGTAAAGTATTTATGGTTATTTTCTTCAAGAGTCTGACTGCCCCATGAATTCTACCTTAGTGTCTTCTTTTTAAGGAATAAAGCACAAAAAGATCTCAAACTTCTTTATTAAGCATCTCATTTTTGATGCCACGTTACAGTACTGACACAAGTATATTATGACATTTATATAAGAGAGATCATTTCTAAATGCAAGAACCATAAAGTACCTAAGGAATTGCAGTGTGAAAACAAACCATGACGTTCAGTCAATGAAATGCAGGAGGAAATTGAGATGAAGGAAATAACACCCAAAAAGAGGTTCAACTTTCTATCCTTGAAGCAGCTATGGTTGGTTTTCCCAACTAAAATAAGAATACAATTTATTCTCCTTTGTGCATCATCTCAAAATAGCCCCCACACCTGCATCAATGGAAAGCAAGGAAAATGAGAACGTGTATCTGGCACAGAGATGCTTCTTCAACTGCCCTGCCTTTTTGTTTTTAGGATTAAAAGAGGAAGGCGAAAAACTCAACAATGGAATCTATGTGCTTCACATAGATTAAATAGCTGCGGGGAAGGGGCTTTCCCAGGACCTGGGTTCGGGGCCCACAGCTGTAGCGGCTGAAGAGACAGCTGCCTCCCAGCTGCTTGCCACTGTCCATGGCCACACCTGCTGCCCCTTAGACACGATGGAAAAAGCACCGTGTGGAAACTTCCCCAATGCAAGGGCTTGGGGAATTGCACGACCCTGCTGCTGCAGCTGGCAAATTCACTGAAGCTGTAATTAGAACATATCCAATACATATATGAGATACATCCATGAAGGATCAACTTGTCTTTTGTTGAGGGAAGTCCTGCCTCCCAAACCTTGTAGCGGTCACTGGAAGAGTTAGGAAGCACACGGGAAACAGTGATTTGTCTTGGAGTGAATCTGGATTTCCCAAAAGCCTTTGAGAAGGTCCCCGATTGAAGCTCTGGCAGGAGCTAAGATGGCAATGATTAAGAGGGAAAGTCCTACATGACTTTTCATAACTGATTAAAAGATAGGAAATGAAGTTGTAAATACACAGCCATTTTTTCACAATGGAGGAAGGTTACCAGCAGGGTCCCACAAGGATCTGTGCTGTGCTTTTTGTAAAGTGATCTGGATAAGGGAGTGAATAGTGACATGACAACGTTTATTGACAAAAATTAAAAGGAAAAAGAGGATAGTCAAAATAAAACCAGCTGCAAGGAACTGCAGAAGGATATTACAAATTCCGAGTGCACAATAAAAGGGAAATGGTATTCAATGCTGATATAATGTAAAGCGGTGCTCACGGGGATAACGCAGCCCTAACTATACATACACAACAATAGGCTCTAAATTAGCTCTGTTCCACCCAGGACAGAGACCTTGTCGTCACTGTGGATAACTCTCTGTGGGCAGTTGACTCAGAAGCAGTCAAAAAGGCAAAGCGAAAGCTAGGAGTAATTATGAAGGAATAGAGAAAAAAAAGAAAACATTGTTACACCACTGTATAAATGATGTCTCCTCATTTTAAATCTGGCTGTCCATTCTGGTAACTCCACCTCAAACGGAGGCAGAAGAACTAGAAAAGATACAATGCAGGGAGACACAGACTATCACTGGTACGGAATGGTTTCTGTACAAGAAGGACTAGACAAATCGGGAGTCTTCAAACTGGAAGAGACAACCGAGGGGAAACACTACAGAGATCTATATGACTGTGAAGGACAAGAAGAAATTCCACAGAAAACGGTTATTCATTATTTCTCCTAAGAAAGTACAGGACACCAACATGGCTATGACACAGCAGATTAAAAACTCACAGAAGAAAGTGTGTGTATATGTATAATTTGGCACAATGCAAAATTGGACTGCGGAACTCATTGGCACAAATCATGAGGATGTTCAAAATACAAATGATCAAATGCAAAGAAGAAAGGTTCATCCAGGGTTACACTAAATACAACGGTGAAAATACAATTTCAAGTTCTGGAAGTCTGTCAAATGTTGGCTGCCAAAAGCTCTGCGGATGTGCCAGGGGTATAAGGCAGAGGCGAAGCCTGGAAGTATCCTGTACGCGCCACTGCTAGAGGCAGGATAATGGGCTTGGGTACTTCTGCTCTTGGGCTCTGACCACTCTCAGTGAAAGCAAGCTATGATAGCTTAGACTGTGAGTCTTTGTTAGCTTCAGTTAAACAGAGCCAAATGCCGCAGGCAGAAGTTACACAGCATTTCAGGGGGCACAACAAGTCAGGAGCCTTCACATCAGTGAGTGACAACAAAGGGTGGCAAGTTCATCAATAGCTTCAGCTGCTGGAAAAACGCAGGCTTCCCTAAAGCCACATTTCTTTGAGGGTTCCCCTCCCTCCTCCCATTCCCAAACAGTAACACTGGAACCATACTTCCGGCATGCAGCAGGTTGAACAATCTTTTGCCTTGAGATCAAGCAGAATTTTTTTGCTTTGGGCCACGTGACCAAGGTCTGGTGGTCTACTTGGCCTTATTTACCAATCCACAAAAATGCCATGGGATCTGAGCACAAAGTAGGACCAGATATTAGGAAGTTAAGGCTGTTAGACTCACTAAAACTTGTCTTTGGCAGCTAGCACAGGAAAAAAGTCAGACACGGAAAAATCTTCTGTTGCACTAACAAACCTGATAGCAATTTTTTCCTTCCTCCTATCTCCCTTAAAAGAGAGGAAAAGTGAGGAAAGAGACTTTTAAAAGTACGACTAGGGTAAACTGGCGGACTTCTGCAAATAATTGATTATATAGTAAGAGAAGTACGACTCTGCACTAGAATCAATTGAACACCTGGTATGAGACAAAAATATATATGGGGTTACATATGCCTTTCCACCCTGTTACATTATAGAATCTAGATTTTCTATTTAACAGACTTCTCTTTATTTTCAGTTCATTCACTTTCCTGTCCTGGTAACTACATACTTAGACCTACATGCTAAAATCAAACATTTATTTTTCAAAGGAAATAACTGAAGAAGGAAAAAACTAACTGGTGAGGAAAAAAAGAGTCTTTCTAAAACTTTTATCAGAGGTGTGTGAATCAGGTAAGATGCAAACAGCCAAGGGCTACCTAATACCACTCTATTCTTGCTCCAAAGACAAGCATATGAAGAAAAGTTAAACATGTGACAAGACCTTTAATTCTGACAGAAAATGATTTTTTTTCACTACCAAGTCTAAAATACACAACCCAAACACATAAGAGCCAATGTAAAAGAAGGAAAGTGAGAGCAACAGCCTTACTGCAAATTCACAAATAACGATAATTATTAGTGCTTTTTTTTCTGAATTACATACTACCTTTAGGGAGTTACATTCCTAATTACTTCAGTTTAAAAATGCTACAATTCAGCTGGTAAATATATTAATTTGCAACTCCTTAGAAAAACTGACAAAATTATTCAGCCATCAAAACCACGGGCTTAAAAGCATCTAGTAAAATCCAACAAAATGAGCTATGATGGACTTTTAATTGCACTGCTGTTAATTAGTAATGTTAACTGC